AGAGCACGGGAGTTCGTTGAAGACGCACAATCAGTGTTACTGGCAATAATTCTATAAAAAGTTTTGCTGAGTGTGGATGAATGTGCTAACGATATAATATGTCAAAGAATTGATTTTTGAAATATCTGCTTTTTTACCTAAATAAATTTGAAAATTGCAACAAAAATAAATTTTAGATATAAAAAATGGTGTTGTATTAACTGACGTAGCAAGAGGCCAATGTTTGTCATCAAATTTTGGATTTATCCAATTTGTGGGCGCGGCTCCAGCAGCTAGACATCGCCACCTCCCAATTTTCGTCTCAAAAATTGTTGTTTGCTCGATTGTGATTGGTTGAGCCTGTCTTTTGAAACGACTCTTTTTTTGATTAATGGAATGTTTAACAAAATCAATGGAATTACTTGAAAAACTATTTTTCCTTTTAGTACGCGCATCAAAAGTAGACTTTCTAAAAAGAATATTATCAGATATGTCTACTTTTTTATTTTTTTTCCTGTTTTCAGTGTAGTTCTGAGCAGAACTTATTAACAAATTTTCTAGCGTTTCATTAGATAAATTAATATTCAGCTTATTTTGCTCAGTTTCAATCTGACTAGCAGCTGGTTCAAAAACGTTGTTGATAAATTCAGCGTCTAGCGTTTCGTCAATCGAAATGTTACTTTCTTGATCTATAAATCTTTCACTTTTTTCACGTTCACTTGAAAAATATATCAGCTCTTCAGGAGTTAGTTCTAAATTTTTAAGTTCCCTTTTGTCCCATGAAATATTTTTACTAGATGAAGTTGTATTCAGGGGTTTGTCTATGGGTCTCGATCCTCCAGATTTCTTCTTCCTTTCAACGTTGTCGACAGTGTTGCCAATGGCTTTGATGTTCGGATCGTAACTGTGAATGCTGAAGCCACCTGCTTTTTTCGGCGCTTTTATGTGTATGGCTACGACCTGAAAGATGGAAGTAGATTTAGTCTCTGATGCACTAACATTTTGAAAAGATAATCACTTACGTTCACTTACGTTCGGAAAGTTTTCTTCACAATTTAAATTTTTCAATAAATTTATCAATTTCGAGTTTAAAAAATTTAATTTTAAGTTATTAACAGTATTGGAAAATTTATTTAATTAATAATTTTCAAATCCTGTTGTATTTCGCCGACTAAAGAAAGTGAAAATGGAAAACACTAATCCTAACATAACCGCACGGACAAAGAAGGTGACCAATAAGATGAGTAATATTGCGGGATTGCACCTGTGTGATGGTTGTAGGAAAGTAAATGAAGAAAGAATAAAAACACTGACTAATTATGAGGAGGAAGGATTGCTTGTTGGAAGAAAACAGTTGGAAGAAAAAATGGCAAATGAAGTCAGATGTCTAACTCAGATGATGGAAAAAGTCACATTTAGAGAAGAGATGCTAAAAGAACAGATGAGGGAACAAACTAACTTGAAGAATAGTCTCAATGAGGTAAAAAATCAGGTAGCCAAGGAAGAGGAAATGACAAAAAAGTGGAATGAAGTAGTTAAAGGTAATATTGAGAGTTTGACAACAAATGTCAAGGAAATACATTCATCGGTGCTGGACACAAAAAATCATCTGGATGTTGCTAATGAAAGAGATATCCGTCGAAACAATTTAGTCATTTTCAACATACCAGAAAATGAAAGTTTTTCTTGGAAAGCTGATAAAGAGAAAGTGCTTCAGTTGTTGAAGGAGATAACTGATGAAAACTTGGAGAAGGAGGTTTCAAATGTATTCAGACTTGGTAAAAGGGTGAATGATCAAAAGCCAAGGCCTATTTTAATTAAATTATTGAATTTAACTACTAAAAACCTGATACTAGAAAACTGTTTCAAACTGAGGAGGAGTAAATCATTCAATGGAGTCTACATTAATCATGACCTTATTAAATTAGATAGAGATATTTGTAAACAGCTTCTCGATGATAAAAAGAAGAAAATTGCAGAAAAGGACGACATTAATAACTGGATATTTAAGGTAAAAAGACAACCAGGTGAGTTTCATGTATTTGTTTTTAAAAAGACAAATTTATAAAGAGATCAAAGTCAAGAGAAGGCAGTGAGTTTAATTATAATCCTAGTGTGGTAAAGAATCCTAATGATGTGCTAATGTTTTGTATACCAATGTTGATTGTCTCACAAATAAATTTTCAGAATTGAACCTATTTTTAGAGTCATCGGATTTAAAGTATGATTTAATAGTTATAAATGAAGTAAAGCCTAAAAATGTTAAAAACTCTTCATGGAACATTAACGAATTTAATTTGCCTGGATATAGTTACCTGGTTTCAAATTTCTGCAAAGCAAGTTATCGAGGTATTATGTTATATTACAAAATCAATTTGCAGCTGTTTAGTGTTCAACTGGATTCCAAATTTGATGAATATTTGTGTGCCAGGATTAACGTCAGAGATCAAAAT